CTTGGCCAACAATAATATCACTGATACAAAATAAAAAAAAGGCAAGTGGAAAGCAGACAAGCTGATACTATTACATTATTCTGCAAACTTTAAATATCTATGGAAGCTACCACGGGCAGCTTTAGCTGTCCAGCTGCCACCGGAAGTGCCATCGCTAGTTTGGCAGCTATGCAGAAAGTGCCATTGCAGTAATTTTTAAATTGTAGCAAAGGTTATAAGAAAGTGTTATTTGAACACAGGCCATTGTTTCCAACAATGGGCCATAAGGAGCTCTTGTCCATCAAAAGTCCACAGCAGTGGCTGCCAGACCGAAGGGGTCATGTTCTTTTGCACAGAGAGAGCGGGACAATAAAAGAGCAAAACCGAGGATTAATATTGGATTGTGTTCTTGTAATGGAGAATGTTAAAAGCAGCCAAAGGACTTAGATTTGATTCAGATGTGCATTTTTCAGTCTGGATGTTTTAGCATTTCAAGCTAACATGTTTGTTTTGGTAGCGTTAGTGACCTAGCATGGTCATGATGTTAGCAATAGGATTTTAAATTGGGAGTAATTCAAGATTTGTATAATGTTTGTGCTTTGTTAGCCCCCTTCAGGACTGTCTCCTCTCTGTCAACCTTGTCACTTGACACTGTGCTGCTGCAAATGCTGCCTGGAGCTGGGACTCATTATTCAGCTAAGGATAGCTTTAGAGTGGTGACTGCATACGTTGTTGCTGGGAAACAGGACGTGTCAGTTTGTTTTGAGTCTCACTGGTCCCTGTAGCAGCTGTAAAAAATTAGTTAAAGTACCTTTAATCCCAGACCTTTATTGTAGTGAGATTATAGCGCAAAGAGACAAAGTGAAACAAGTATTAAAGCAAATGCAGAGAAATAGAATCAGCGATAAGTAATTTGGGATTATAATACCTAAAAATGATTAGCTCTTCTGTTTTTCATTTGTGGTGTGACCCACACCAGCTTTATTTTACAGCAGCAATCAGGCTCCACAGAAGCCTCACAGTCAGTCTCTATAGCTTTTCTCTGTACTGCCAGTCAATTTCAGATTACTGCTCTGCGAATTCCTGTAAATTGCGTTTCCCCAGCAACGGGAAGATAACATGACAGGAAAATCATCTTGTGCTATCACTGTAATAGGGTTTTCCCACTCTTTGCCAGCACTAGAAAGATGTGACAGTAAATGAAAGAGGGAAAAATTGAGCAGGACAATAAACAGAATAGCCATTTCAACTTTAAAATTAAACATGCATAACACTGGAGCCAGATAATGAGCTATCAGCAGTCCAGGGCTGCAAACCCGACACAGGAAGGCTCCAGTTCTGCCATAGAATTGTTTGTACCAAAAAGTAAAAAAAAAAAAAAAAAATGAACTCGATTATGCTCTGTTGCTAACTGAACCTTCATAGATTCCTGCTATTTCAAGTCTGAACAGGTTATAAACTTAGGACACTGATTGTTGTAGTGGCCTATTCAGTTCAGTTCAATTTTGTTTGTATAGCACCATATCACAACAAAAGTCATCTCACGACACTTTACATAGTGAGGTTAGACATTATTATTATTATTATTGAGAAAAACCCAATTAATTCCCCTTGAGCAAGCACTTGGTAACAGTGGGGAGGAATTAATAAATGAAACCTCCGACAGACCCCAGCTCTTGGTGGTCTACCCTCTGCCTCGGCCAGTTGGGGTGAGTGGATAGAAGAAAGAGAAAAGAAAAGCAACAAGGGAAGGCTCAGGGTCACCTGAGCCAGCCTTAACTATAAGCTTTATCAAAAAAGAACCTTTTTAAGCCTATAAATCTGCTGAAAAGAGCTTATGAAATCCTGTATTTCCTTTGACTCTCTATCCAGGCCGAGGAACTGCCTGCAAAGCTAAAAAAAAGGGGGAGCTATACTGCACCTCTATTTTCCTCCTCATTTACAATCGTTTTGTTTCGCCCTTTAATTTGTATATTGTTAATGAATAGACCGATCCTGTCCCCATTCAAAAAGGCTTGTAGCCAGATCAAACCTTAGCGACTCAAACAAATGTCCTAGCTACACTTTGCTTTGTCTTGTTTCATTACCTTTACAAAACTACACAAAACATCTGCTATCAAAATCAAAGAAAACAACAATAGTCCACTTTATATAACAAAATCCTGGTCTGTTGAAGTTTTCCTCTGTTTTTTTAATAATTTAAAGTGTATGAACTTCTCAACAAAAAATAGAGCCTGTCACATCATGACAAATGTGTTAAAAACAGTGTGGGGCAGTATCTGCCATGCAAAGGATTGAAAACTAGACTTTGTTTATATAGACACAGATTCATAAAAGAATATAATAAATTGAGAAAATATTGCTGCTACTCAGATATATGTTTAGTAACATTACATAAAAACACAGCCAAACTGTTTGGGATGATCCATTCCAGGTGACATTGTTAGAATTCCAAGGCCACTAAAACATCCAATAAGAAAACAGTTAAGCTGTCCAGCTCATATTAGCAATAAAATAATACTAAATTTAAGTTAATTCTAAAATGCTAAAATAAACTAATCTGTAAATAAAATAGTAAGTACATCATCCAGTTAAATACTAGTTAAATACTAGCAATTAAATCAAATTAAATATTATAAAATACTAAAATAGAATAAAATGCATGTAAATGCCAAGAAGGAGGACTTAAATAGCACCACTACCATGAATGCAGTGCAGTATATACCACTGCAGATATAATAATGATGGCAACATCATTATATTTTATTTAATAGTTTAGTATTTTTCCCACAGCTCTCAGAAAGAAACAATTCCTCAGCTTGTTTGTCCAAGTCTGTATGATCCTCAGTCTGCCAGAAGGGAGAGTAGGTGATTTCCTGGGTGTGACTTGTCCCTCCTGATGTTAGTGGTTTGTTTGAAAAGGCTAAACCAAATCAGTACTTTGATCATTTTCATTACTCATCATTTGTTGGAGCATTATATGCTATAATTGAAATGTATTTGTTCTACAGTATGTTAACCAACTACAACAATCAAATATTGATTAGGACTTTTTTATTATGTTTTTTCTACACTATCAAGTTGGAGATGGTTTAGGTTTTATCCTCGTTAACATAAATGGGGTGGACAACATATTAAAGCACTTCTCAGTGTAACACTATCTTAAATCAACAGTTCTCTGAAAATGTTTCAACAAAAACTGAACATTATAACTTTTAAGATTAAAGTTAGTCTTTATTACTGCAATACTAGACTGCAGGAGTTTTAGCTAGGTGTACCCAATAAACTGGCAAATAAGTGTAATGTATTTGAAAACATGTACACACAGAAAGACAGCATGTCAGATATTCTTTCAGTAGCCTACAAATTCGGTGTGTTTCTCATATGCCACAGAGACAGTCATCATGATTCGCCTATTACCTGCTAAATGTTAGCATGTTACCAAGGTTACTGTGAGCGTGTTAGCATTTAGCTCAAAGAGACACTGTGTCCAAATACAGCCTAACAGAGCAGAGCCACTAGCATGACTATAGAGTTGTTACACCTTGTGAAAATGTCTGACCAGGTTCATATACAGTAGAAAATAACCTGGTTACTACTTTGTCAAAGGCCTGTACCTCATTAAGGTGTATGTGTCTATAGGAGATCTGCACAGAGCATCAATACATTATCAGATGTGCACATAGCCAGTCTGTTTATAGATGCTATTTAAAGGAATTGCATCAGTGTTTGTGAGCAAAATGTTTGATGATATAGGAGAATTAGACTTATGATCCATATTTGATGAGCTTTATAGTACATTGCTACCAGAATCCAGTATTATGCCTGAGGCATTGCTGAAATAAGGCTAGGTGTTGCAGTAACTTACAGTACATGATTCTTGCCTTGCATAGTGCAAAAATAAAACCAGCCTATTGAAGAGTTGATAGTTCAGCTGAGTGACGCTATGCTACCGTGCTCATGTCGTAGAGACACTTGCGGTCCTCGGTCTCTATGTTCTTCTAGCAGTACTGACACCTTAAAGTGCTTAGTGAGTTGGAGAGTTCAGTCTTTATGTCAGCAGCGTGGCCTGCCCCCCACAACATATTTATTCATCAGTGTCCACAGACAGATGATACTCATTATACAGTAATATCACAGAGACATAGAAGGGCTACTTGCATAACTGCATCCTGTGAGGTGATTTCCATTCTGATCTTACTACCACAGCTGGGCTACATAACCACCCGCCTGGACTGCACTAGACTGGATTACACACGCATTCTTCTTCCATTTCTTTTTTTTTTTTTTTTTACCCATGCACTTCATGTCAGTCTCCACATACATTTCTGTTTTAACCGCTCAGTCATACCTGTAATAATTCTCCCTCCATGTTCCTATAGGCTGTGAAGTGTATCGGCTTCCCCCATGTGTGATTTTGTTGGCATGGAAACAGGAACAACATTGTGATGTGCGTTGCATTTTTCACCCCTGTCCACAGAGCACCACAGTGAGGAAAGCCTGAAACAAACCCCTTCCCCCACCAATTACACTGAGAGAGGATGGCAGGCAGGTTCCTTCCAGCGTTCTCTAATCCCTGTGTAAGTAGACCCTCTGTAGAGTAACCGACGAATGCTCCTTCATTTCTTGTTACATAGCCTTTGACTAGAAGTTGTACAATTCACTACTTTATGAATGACAAGGTGCTGCAAATGCTCCTAATGGCTTTCAGGCACTTTAAGTATTATCTGTGTACCAAATCGCTACATAATGAATAGAACACCCGTTACTCTGAATTTATTTTCCATTCATCACGCAGTCCCCCTGTGGCTCTTGTACCGTATATCTATGAATCCAGAAACTGTTTAGCGAAGCTGAGGCAGCCTCATGAATGACCAGTTTCCTTATGAGAGGCTTAGGTTTTAAGCTAGTTATCACCATCTAGTGGCTGCAAATTTGTAAACCATCAACTGTCCACACTACATTTTATCCCCTCGAACAGAAAAAAAAAAAAACAGAACCAGGTGACAAGTTGTCACATTTACTTTTATTGTAAACGTGATATTATTCCAAAATATTATGTTAGAGGAATAGAGATAAAGAAACAGACGGGAAGACATCTAGAAAACATCGACACAAGACTTTGGTAAGAATCTTGGGACACATTCTTATGAAAAAATTCCACAGCAAAAAAATAACAGTTTTCTAATAATGCTCCAAATCACATTGATCTCATTTGTGCTGCATCTACGTGTACAACAATATAGCTGGGTAAAAAGTCAACTGGGCATTTTGTGTCCTAGAAACAACTGAACAATTGAATGCATATAAAACACTGGAATGGTTGGGCACCTGTGCTTTAAGGTCTAGAATATACTGTACTGTGTAAGGATACCACAAGATACAACAGTTCTTTATCTTATTAATAAATCAATTTGTATTTCCTAATTATATTTTTCAAGTTATTATACCACAAGTTTATAGTTATCTTGCAAAAAGTAAGTTTGAAAGCACAGAAGAATCGGCCTAGTTTAAATCCAGAGTTTTTCCCAGAGAGATGTTCATCTTCTCCTGACCACAGCTGACCTGAGCTCTGGATTTATCCAACACAGATTCAAGTATGTGCCATTTAAGCCCTAAACAGAGTGCATTGGATCATTGTGCAACAGTGTGCCATGCCTGATCCTGTTCTCAGCTCCACTATTCCTCACCCCCTCCTCCTGTGCACACCATTCCCTTCCTCTATTCCTTCCTAGCATGGGTGCACATTACAAGCTCTGATCTCCTTTCTCTCCTTGCAGCTGGACAGCTGGGCAGTCTTAAACCTCTGCTTCACCATCATGAGTCGCTCTTGAATACCTCCACCACACAGCTTGGTACATTCTGTCCAGCTCGACCATGGTCTCATTTTACATCCTAAAGAGAAAGGGGGGAGACCGTCGGATTAACGTGTGCTTGTCTCAGATTTTTATTATCTGTGTGCTGTTGTGTTCTGATTGTACCAACCTGGGTGCTCAGAGGCAACGTCAGCTCTGCCCTGTTTGCTCCTCCTCTTCTCACGTTGTTCTTTGCGTCTTTTCTTCTCATCACTGCTAGCTTGTCCTCGGTTGCACTTCCTGATCTTACACTTCTTTCTCTGGATGGTTTCAGGACAGGGGTCTCCTCCAAACTGAGGCTCCAGCTTCACCATACGCGTCCGAATTGTATGACCCTTCCCACAGGACTTATTGCACTCTGACCACTCGGTCCACTCTGACATGACACAGTCTATGGCTGAGGAGACAGAATAGGGCAGAAGGAGCCTGGCTCAGATGATGTTCATGACAGAGTAGAAAACTGATGAGATAGGAGGAGAAGCAGTGGAGACAAATAAGGCATATTAAAGAGTAATTAAACCCCAAAACCACTTTTTTTCAGCTGAAAATTAATTTCTATAAGCTCATTAGTTCTGCTGATTGATTCAGGTCCAAATCTTGACATTTTAGTGCAAAGTATTTGAGTTCTTCATATTGTGTAGAGAGTGCTCTCTACTGGTTGAAACCCGACTACTGCAGTAGAATTTTGCTGTTGGCTGATCTGGTGGCAGGTGATGTGTACAGTGGCAGCTTTTGTCACCAACACACCCCTGTACCCACACTTTCTCATGTATGCTTGTGCATACATGTACAGTATGTGTGTGCAGATGGGGATGTTTATTACTTACGACACTCTGGTAGCATGCACTTTTCCACCTGTTCTAACTCTTCTGTACACTCTCCCAGCTCCACTGGGGACTTGAGCATGCGTTGTCGTGTCCGCAGACCCTTCCCGCAAGTCACGCTGCAGTCACTCCAGTCAGACCAGGGAGTCAACATGCAGGGAATAGTGTCTTTGTACAACAGAAATTAATTAGTTAGTAACGTATCCACTGTATTATATATATGAAAGTACATGGTCATATACATGTATATGTTACACATCTAGACTACAGTGAAATTGTCAGAGCAGATGTTTTTGCTTCAACTGTATTGTTAGAGTAAAATCTGCAAAAATGTATTCTACATTAAATTACAAATTCAACATGTATAAAGAGTGTCATCAGCAGCGGTGGGCAGTAGTGAACTGCATTTAATTAAACTAGTAGTTTAGCTGTACTTTGCAGTATCTTGCTGGTAGTTCGGTGATGTTCATAACTGCATAGTCATTCAAGTACTTAAATTACTTTTTTGTCATTTTTGTGTCGTTACTCACTGAAACAAACCATTTTGGGCTGTAAAAACATTTTTTGGACCCGTGTTCAAGTTCATACTATCTAAAACGGTGCAATGAAATACTGTTTTAATTGCTAAAACCGGACAAAAGAGATGTTGCAAAAATGTAGCCTGTTTGTTAGACCAGTGCTCAAGTTGGTCAGCAGTCCAAAACAGTGCTTTTTTAAAGACTTTTTTTAACTGTTAGAAAAGCAAGCAAAAATAAAAAAAAATCTATTTTTGTTGTAAGCAAATCTAGATTTTATATTGTCTAAGTAGCTTTAACAAAGCCAGATTTGTGGCTTGGGTCGCTTTGCTGTAGGTCAGCTTCTTACACTGTGAAATAATTGCCCATCAGTGCTATTTACATGGATGTACAGTTAGGTTACTCTTATGCTAGTGGCTTCTTGTGGCTGGTTGCTTAATGAGACCAGTTTCGCCAGATTTGAAGTGTAGGAGGTGTAAGGATAGTTGTGGTGCTACTCACGACATTCTGGCATCATGCACTTCTCCACTTCTAGCACCTCTGCCCCACAAATGGAGCCATCTGCAGGAGGCATCTTCACCATGCGCTCTCTCCTCTTCATGCCAAGTCCACAAGTGGCACTGCAGACATCCCATTCACCCCACTCTGTGACGAGGCAGCTGCTGGGAGCTAAGGCCAAGAGGGGAAGACAAGGTAAACCTATATATAGCACAACTTAAAATAAATATACAGTATGAAATGTGACTGTACAAGTGAGTGTGACAAGTGGAATGGAAATGGGAAACCTACAGCATTCCTCATTAACCACACAGTTTTCTGTCTCCTCTGTGGGCAGGGTGCACACTGAGCCATCTTCAGGGAACTGCTTAACGTAACGCTCCCGGGAACGTGCGCCCATTCCACAGGACGCACTACATGGAGACCAGGTGATCCATTCTGACATCATACATGTGGAAGCATCTAAAGGGTCAAAGGCAGAAGTGGAAGATGTCAGCCAGCTTCAAGAGAGGTCAGTGATTCTGACAACTGTTGCCACACATGCAGATTAGGGCTACTGTAAAAAAAAAAAAAAAAAAGAGTTCTGGCTTTGACTTAAAATAAAGAAGTCTGAATTCTGAGAAAAAAAGTCAGAACTCAAATTTTTTACAGTCACCCTAACTGGGAATCCACACTGAAAGCAAGGCATGAACGGCACATTCTCTGTCTGTCATCAGAACAGTTGTCTGTCAGCAGGACAGTGGTCGGACAAAGGCCGAATCACGTTTTTATGCAGCCTGTGATTTTTCCCGTCTTAACAGATAACAGTAGAAACAGAAAATAATGGCACTTGGAGATTACACTCCACTCAACATGGCAGAGGGAAAATAGACCTTAAGCATAAAAAAACGTGAAGGTTCCAGAGGAGATTCAGTGTGGATAGACACATGGAATGGAATTCTATCTGCAGCGTGAGACGCGTGTAGAAAACGCTTCCAAAAACACATTCAGTGTGGATTAGGGATAATCCTCTTATGTACAAATAAAATACATGCAGATTCCCTTCCAAGTTATTCACAGATAATGGATGCAGAGCACAGAGAGAGAATGCAATGCATCATACTCTGAAAACCACGCCCACTGGGGGGAAACACTCACTCTCCTTTGACTTTGTTTTGCATGAAGGTGCCTCTTTGATAATTTGGTCTTTTTACAAAAAAACTGAAATGCTTAAAAGCAGCTGTGTGATAGGATGCACTCTACCAGCAAGGCAAAGAAGCCAGAGTTAGTTTTAAAAACTGATTAACAAAAACAATTGGTTTGAGTAGACCCTGATGTGGGCATGGCCTAAATGCGCTTTGTCTATATATACTGTGATATCTAATTGACTAAAGTAATTGATTTTCTATTCTGTTGATTTCTTGTATAATTGTGCAAGCAATGGTGCATTTTAACTACACACACAAAAAAGAAAAGCAAGATATCAAATAGTGATCCACCAGTGTAAGTTCTGCTCACTAAAGCAGCTGCCACTGAATTGCAAACAGAGGTTCTAGGTTGGTTTGTTTGCTGTTTTAGCACACAAGGAAAGAAACTGTCTTTACAATTAACTTCACTGTCTAAGCAAATTAGAGTGCAGGAATCAAATTTGCATATTGTTGACCCTGATCAAATTTTCCACTTGCACATAAGGAATGTAAACAAGCAGACACTTGTTTCCTCTACATACCACACTACCTGAGATATAGAGATGATTGTGCCTTAAAGCTTCTTGGACCTGTCCCCTGACTACTTTGCTAATGTGCTCTCAGATAAGTCCCTGGATGAACCATCAGATCTTTCTCTGTACTAAACACAGACGGTGAAGCTGCTCCATGTAGACCTAAGGACACCGAATCTCACAAAAAAACACCATGCAACAACACTGCCATTTCACTGCCTTCATTATGAACAGCTTTTGCTAGATCTAAAGTTAAGAAAGAATTCCTTTTTGACAGTACAAGTATATTATGGACTGTTTTGTCTGTGGTCTCTGCTTTACAGGTAAAAAATTTAAAAAATGTAAAAATTAAGTCTAATTATTATTTTGCCATGTAATGACTAATTTGAACATTTCATCTTGAGGCACAGCTGTCGGTAAAATTTAATTTGTATTGGCTGTGTACATATTTCAACTGGATGGATTTAAAATTAAAATGTTAGAAACTGTGGAATGCAATTAAAACATCAACCTTCAGATCTGATGAACCTTGCAGTAATTACAGCCCAGTTTAAACACAGACATCCGTAGTTATGCCAAGATGATATTTTCATGCTATAGATGTGTGTAGGCAGCCAGCCAGGATATGCTAAAGGAGGGGGCTAGTGTGCACGTGCTATGGGCACCCAAAGGGGAAAGCAGGAGTTACTCTCGGCGTATGTAAATTATTGAGCAGTAGGTTTGGGCAAAGGGACAAATACGATGACTATCTTTGATGCGCATTTTGGGTCCAATCTAAGTTCTTGATGAATTTGAACACTTTATTTTGACTCATCTGTTTTCATCCAAAAAGTACAAGGTAGCTACACTTGCATGTTGCTACTTTGTGCTCTCATGTAATTGTTGCCTCTAATTTGCATTTTACTGTTTTAGCTATTTGTGTACACTGTGTTAAAGGAATAGTTTTAGAGTCTGTTAAGTTGGTGTTAAAACAATACTGATGTATCTATATGTACGTGAGAACAGGTCTTAGTCATTGTCACTTCTCTCCACATTGACCTGGAATGTTTCCACCTGGAACACCTCTACACTGCAAAAAATGAGGGACAAACTATACTGGTCTCGTTCTGTAAAAACTCCAAAGTTTGTCTGACGCTCAAATGCAGCTTCAGCTTTCCAGCTAAGCTAATTCAAGTCGGTATATTTCAAAGGTAGTCTATTTTGAAACAAATTCTTTCTTTCCCTGGACAGTGCCTTGCTGTGCTGCGGTGGAGGGACATGTTATAGAAGCATCATTTACGTTCCTATAAGCACTTCGAACTGCCGTTTTTTTATGAAAATGTGCTATATTAATAAACCTGCTTTGCCTTATTTTGTTGTTTTTCATTTTCTGTATTTTTATGTGCCTTAGTTTATTTAACTATTAATCTTTTAGAACTTGTATAGAACTTTTGTAACTTTGTTTGGAAAGGTGTTGAATAAATAAAGCATTATTATAAGTAAGGGTCTTAATACTTCAGCATCATCAACATTCACTATAAAATGTGACAATTAACCTCTAAAACGCAATCTGCCTGCTATTAAACAAGAAGCAATAAAGGGCTTTTTTTAGTGACAGGAAAATCCAACCTTAAAGGCAACCAAGCTTAGATTCCTTATTACATAATTTAATCGTCCAAGTTAAATGACGACTATAAATCATCCATACTTGAGTCACAGACTGACTGCCCCAACACGCTGCCTCTGGCAAAAATTATTGTAGGGAGACAAAAAGATACATGAAGAGAGGAGAAGAAAAAGGTAAGGAAATAAACCTTGAACAACCACCAGACATAATTTCCTGAGTGAATTACTCTTAAGTGCTTACAAAATATATTTAATGGCATCATGCAATTTAACTTGCCATAAAATTTAAAAGGCTGCCAAAGAGAGTGCTTTGTTTATATGGCAGTGCTGTATAAACAAAGCACTCTCTTTCGCCTCTATTCAGTTCTAACTCAATTGCTTCTATTGAATGGTACCCTTGGTATTTTCAATCGGCACTACACCAACAAAGATTGATTTTAAAACATGCCCTCACTTTTTAGATCATCACATTAATGGATGCAATAACCCTGAGACTTCAATAAAATTATCTGAGATTAAAGATGCTGTTAAAGGGACTTAGTGGAAGACTAAACATGGTGTCTTATGTCATCATTTCCACTGCCAATTTTTGTGTTCTTCATATATGCTGACCTTCAGTGTTTAGATAAATACTCACCCTCATCACTGCATCCAGGTCCCATGCAAGGCTCAAAATCCTGCGTGTGTGGGCAGGGAACACTAAGGTCCAGCTGGGCCTTCAGCATCCTCTGTCTCATCCGTTTGCCCTTTTCACAAGTGGCTGAGCTGCAGGCGGACCAGGGAGACCAGTTGGAGTAGATACATGTCTCAGGAGTATCATCTGCCGGACGGTAAAGGGAATAATAAAACTACAATAACCCAACAAACTATGCTTTCAGCATTGTGTAAAAGAGAGAGAAACAGAAGCAGGATCCCAACCTTCCTCTTTCTCTTCCTGGGCAATATCTGCTACAATGTCATCCACATTGTCTGGCACAATGTTGCACTGTTCGCCCTGTGGACACACAGACACACCATGATGTTGCTACATAATCCACCACTCTGCAGCTGTTTGTGTCCTCTTTATAAATTCTTCTCTTTGCCCCCGAGTGCCGTCATAAGACTGGCAGCATACAGTTTTCAGTAAGTGGAGGTCAGCACATAATAATAACAGTTACTGGAGTATATGAACAAATGTCCATGCATTCTGCAAGAGTAAACTGTGTGCAGGTGTGTGTGCAAATGATGCGAAATGCATTATGGCAAAAGGATCACACAGTCATGTAAAAAATTCTCCAGATTCTCCATATCTGCCTCTAGATGCCACTGAAGAACTGCTAACCTTTTATTCCTTCCTGGTTTGCAGCCAAATATTCCTCTTACATAGTACGAGATGAATGTAGCTGTTATAATCACAGTTTGTTAGGTGAAGGAATACCGCTGTAACATTTTTTTAATTATACCTTGCCTACTTTAATGCTGTTTGATGTTCTTGAAACTGAAGTGCACATCACTGCTCCTAACAACTGATATTTGATCATTTAAACTATATTCAATAAGCTTACATTTCATTTTTATTCAGCTTGGGAATCAGCTGAATTGTTAACAGGTATCAGAAAGAGAAGGACTTTGTATACCATGGGAAACACTACTCCTACCCTGAACAAGAAAGGAAAGGTGCCCCCCATCTTTGCTTCTGAAACATTTAAAGGCATTTATTCTTCACAGTAATGGTAGGTAGCATGTTAAAAGATTTGGCATCTCTATGTCCCTGTACTGCACTATGCTGCAATCTGCATAATACATGCCAGGGTCTTGTTAGAATATACACGATGGTTACCAACTGTATGATACTTTATGATAGTCTGAATATGCATTATAATCATTATCCTATCCAGGCAACCAAGTGTTTGCACCGAGAGATTACTCGTATAAAAACAGACAGACCTTTCTGGCAATGCGTTCCACCACCACCCTGGCCACAGGAGTGATGGCGCCCCCCTCAGGATCATAAAAAGGGCTCTGTGGATGATCCAGACTTGTCAGGGGACGGATCTTGTCCTGGGGCGCAGTGGGCTTGTTGGGAGACTAAAAACAGGGAAAGACAAAATAAGAGATAAAATTACATGGGTTGCAAAGCTTTGGAATTTTGGGAGTTTGAAAAATACATTTGCACAAGTGCAACGAGCACAGAGTCATTCAAAGTCACACAAAGCCCAAGTCGCCAAGTCTGAGAGCAGCTGTGGTGAGGCGCTGTCATTTATAGTAGAGAAACTCTTATTAGTCAAGTGGTAAAGGTCTGCCAACATGGGGTTGATAGAAACACCGCCAGAGGCTGTATGAGGGCAGAACACCAGCTCATCCTTCAGCCCCCACAGTGGCCACCAAGAAAAAAAACTGAGCGCAGTACTTGTTTGTGAGAGAAAGTAGAGAATAGAGAGAGGGGTAGTGAGTGGCCATTAATTAAAAGATACAGTAAAAGTAATGGTACAAAGGATGGATCTCATTACTCTGTTATAGGCCTGTGCCTTTAACACCTTCGCTACAGAGCTGAAGTCCCACCTCACTTCCAGAACAGCCACAGTATGACTATCATCTGCTCCAATGTTTTTGGATAGAGGGATTCTGTCACTGATCTTTCTAAAAAAGGTTCATCATGACATTTGTGTGTTCTGTCCTTATTCGCAGCTAAACTGCAAAGGATGGAGGTGGGGATGGGGGAGAGGGATGGACGGACGGACGGGGCGGGTCACAGGAATCAGTGCTATGTATTTTAAAGTACATTACTTGCCTCCATGAGCTGTGTCATGGTCACTGCTGTGGCGCCAGATCATAGGTCAAACTCCAATAACTACCATTACTGAAACCGACATGCACATTACTCTTAATGTAGCAACTCCTTAACACAAGATATAGTCAGTCTAGTCAGAACACGCAACTCCTGAGCTGTCGCTATAGTACAGTTTGGTTTAGTCTATGTGACGGTCTCTGTGTGGCAGGGGAGGAGTGATACCAGCCAATACAATACATGCAAGGGAGCACAGTTCAGTGAGTTCATCTGTGAGCTCTGAAGGATCAGCCAAAGGTTTCACACATGTAATCATATAGTTCGGTCAAATGTACACACGCATAGCCTAATCTGTCAGTGCTGACTGGGGACACTGAGCACACAGCAGACAGCACCTCGGGGTGAGAGTGGGAGGAGAAGATGTTCAAGGCTGTTAAAGGAGAATTGGATGGGTGATGATACTTGAATTGTCGCAGACTGGCAGCATGTGAAGTGGTGAGACGGAGCGATTGTGAATGTGAGCAGATGATGGGTTGATGATAAGGTTAGAATGAGTGCTAAAGGAAAACGCAGCTGGTGATCCATGAGGTAAAAGGTGACAAGAATAACAGTTTGTAGAAGGCTTTGATTGCTATGGGGCTGTGGGGCTGTAACCTTTGAGTTGCACATTTATTACCTGAGAGACACACAAGTGTTTCATTAAAATAATAATCACTGGGGAATGTAAAATGTGTTTAATAAATTTAAGAAGGCTGACAGACAATTTGTAAAATCTACAAAAATATGATTAAAAATCATTTGAAACAGGCACTTTCACGGCCTTTCCAGCTATGCTCCAAATTTTGATGGTAAAACTCATGGTAAAAGGATATTTCAGGAAATTAGTAACAGTTAAATGTTCCACCAAATGAATCTTATAACATTACAACTATTTTGAAAATACAGATCAGTTATTTTACATAACACAAGCATACGTGCACTTAATGAGAAAATATTTTTGGTTGTTTTAATGTCGGTGTGCACGTTGCGGAGCAAATTACTGAGGTGACATGCTTTAATTTAGTAATACTATCAAAATGGTTGAATGAATGATGTCACTGACCTCGTATGTCACCCCACTGTCAGTGCCTGCATCCCAAGGGATGAGGTCCTGGACCACCTTCTGGGCCCAGCCACACTCCTTGGTACACAAGTCCTCAGCAGATAAACCCACATTCCAGTCTGGACTGGGCCCCAACATGGTCAGGAAGGACATGAGGTGACGGGTCCGGTCCACTGAGAATTCAGCTGACGGAGCGGCGCGCCTGAGGAACAGAGTGAAGTCTGAGTGTATCAGATCACTTTGTCAGTGTGAATAGGGGAGAAAAATAGAACACAGAGATGTTAGCTGCATTTAAATTGACGAGTAGTAATGTCTGGCCCATGTGGCCCATTAAACCATGCCCTTCGGAAGACCTGAGGCTACGCTGTATCTGCCCCAGCTTGAATGAGATGTCCAACCTAAACAAAACCAAATTTCACTGGCAATGTACCATGTAAATAATAATGAAAAACAAATCCAGAATGCTAACAACAGCTTTCCATTCAATGACTGAATGAAAGGCTGTAGGTTATTAATGCAACAGTTAGCCAGTGGGAACGTTTATATAATCAATCAGTATACATGTGAAACTAAAATTTAAAATAGAGAGGCCATGGCCTCTAGCTGTATTCCAGGCACTTATGGTGTGTTCAGTGGCACTGTTCGCTTCAGAAGTGGAAAGTGCCAGATACACAATATCCATAAAAGATTTAATCCAATGACTAATGATAAGTGCGTGGGGAGGTTTCCAACAATTGGCCACCATTCTCTTGGCAGCTAAACCTGCTAACAAAATCCCTCTCTGAGATCTTTTAATGCCCAATGATGGCAAATCATTCAAAAGAAAAGAAGGCATGGACTTCGGGTACAGTTATGGATAAAAGATGGGACAGCTGGACAGCCACTTCATTCCAAAAATAAGACACTAGCGGACAGTCCCATATTATATGAGTCAAAGTACCTGGGACCCTCACTGAACACAGATTACACAGAGGATCACTTAGTTTATCCATAAGATGAAGCTTGTGAAGTGTTAAATAAGTTCTGTGAATAAAATTTAAACAAATCTGCTGATGGTCTGGATTAGGAGGCATCTTTTATGTTTGTCCAGGTGGCACCCTAGTCAGACTCAGGGTTAAGATCAGGGCAGTCCTGTACCATACTTATATGAAGCTTGAAATAGACACCAATAATCCAATGAAAATAACATTCATTCTTATTGCAACTAAAAACAATCTATAAATACTGACGGCTTTTAATACTGGGTATTTGTGTATACCCAGGCCAATCTAACACTTACCTAAATTACACAGCTGCCTAGTGCACACTCAAGTGACAATCCCCCGCAACACACCTACACATCTTCATGTTTGATCAAAGATACAAGAAAGTTAATTTTGTTCTAATTTTGTCAACAGCTACATGAGGCTCAGACAGTGCACCCAAAAACTCAAAGGAGATGCAGTTGTTAAACCATGTTTCAGCTTTTTAGAAAGATAAATGAAAGCCGGAGGAAGAAAAATAACTAAATCAGAGGAGAAACATGTCAGCAAGTGGAAAACTCCAACTTTTCTTTAGAGAAAAGGAAAAGAAAGGTGTTTAGAGTGCCTACAATTTATAAATGTGGGACCACATGCATCTATACACCACAGTCACTGTTTCATCACAGGAGTCAAACACACCTCTGGCAGTCTGTCTTGACCAATGACTGACAACTGAACTAATTACAACAATTTTTACAGTTGACAAAATTAATTAAGAACAGGAGGATTTGTGTTGCAGCAGAGACAATCAGCCAGTGATTCCTTTTCAGTTGCCCATATAAATCCATTTGACTTCAGCCAACTCAGTCCTGTCCTTGTGCACTCTACTGATGATGGGCTCTAAGGAGGCAAATTAGCCCTTATCCCTTGGGAACACACAACCTGACTCCACGCTCCTGGGCCTCTGGCTCATTGTGTACTGCAGGTCTGAGGTTTATCTCAGACAGCCACCTGGGCTTTGCTAAAAGGCAAAGTGTAATTGACAGGAGTGGAAAGACAGAACAAGTCTGGTGTCAGATGAGTAAGGGATTAATTGCCGTAGATTACACTAGTGAAATTATTTTTAGTTATTCCAAAATATTTCTGATATGTGTGCAGGTGTATTTTAAAACAGGTTGGGATATGAATGTTAGTACGCGTTGCTACATAAATATTTGGCCCCAATCACTCCTTCCCCAACATTTGACTGTTCTAAAATTTATTTGTGTGGGTGGTAAATCAGTATTAAGGTACGGGAAAGCATCACCTTCATGATCAGCCACTGCTTCTTTTTAAAGGCTTTTTTTTTTTCAAATGGTCAGCATGTTTAAAATGAAAAACTGCCAAAATATTTTCAACTGTTGAAAGTTCGATCAGTTATCCTGCAGACAGACTTGCTAGAGCAGTGCTTGAAGCTCTGTGTGATAAGTGCAATAATCCCTAGACAACCACAACACTTTGTTTAACATTATGTTTCTAGTATGTAGACATGCTTAGTTGCACAGTAGCTAGAAGGACAGAGGCTGGCTCAGATGTTAAATTATACCACACTATTACACATAAACTACTGCAGCCTATCACAAAAGTAGTTCTGAGAGTGGCAGAAATAAAGAGCAGCACACATTAACAGCTGTCTTCTGCACTCCTTATTTCACACCGTTGACAACTGCTTTTCTTGTAGCTGCTAATCAAATATAACCATGCAGAACACTATAGTAATCCTCTGGTTATTAGGAAGATGCCTGACAAGAGAGAGTGGGAGTGTGAAGACAACAAAGATTTAGCCGACTGTCACAGAGGTTCTGTAGCTGTCAGGGATGCCACCATTTTAATCTAGCAGAAAGTGGGAAAAGTGACAGAGAGAGGAGGTGGACTAATGAAGAGAGATTTAGCATGGAAACAAAAGGAGGAAGAGGCAGTAGTGCAGTGTGTGATTTGGTAGAGAGTCATCAGAATCTGTGTGGAGACTCAAGGTCTAAGAAAAATAGTTTGAGAAATGACTGTGAATGTGTTCCTGTGCAAGAATCTGATGCCCGTTTTTGAGTGACTGGGTGTGTGTTTGAGCAAATTTGATTGAGAAAGGCATCTGGATACTGCAAATAAAACAGACTACTAACCCTTCTTTAGGCACATTGCATGTTTGCAAAAGTTTACTTGAGGCACCAGTTTGGGTTTAATAAAATTGTGTTTTTAACACTGTCCAGCATGTTAAAATAAATTTAACAGTAACTGAAAGTCTACTCTACTCATTCTTGTATGGTAGAGTCAAACACACTATAAGAGATTTTTAAAAACATTATTATATACTGAAACTCACCCTGCTACCTCAGTGCCTGCCTACTAATAGACTCCAAATCTTTTTGTGTAGGTAGTCTGTGACATAACTGAAATTAAAATGTCATGTTCTGAATAAAATACCTGTCCCTGTTTTTAGCAATTGCTAAATCTTAAGCAATACCTCCACTATGTCTGTGCTTAGAGGGTGAAGGGATTAATCAACCTCAGCCTGTGACTCATCTCCTAAGGAACAGAGCTGTCATAACTCACCATGCTCTGTGTCAAAATAATTACAAGTTGAAGGGAGCTAGAGCAGGGCGACTGCGCTCCCATGATTTTGAATGACAGAGTTTCCGCAGGCTTCATCAAGTTAAATTAAAGACTTTTTAAGACCCTTTTTAGACCACTTCAGGTGCAATGTAAGGGATATTTCACACCCATGCTGACAAAACAGTATGAATGATATGACAAAAAAAAAAAAAAAAATCACTTGAGTGTTCATTTTGAATTAAGAATTAATTTTGAATATGGTTTTTAGTGCCACCATCGATCCAAATGCTGCCCAGAGGTCGCTTACCGGGGTTGCAAGAGTTGGTTCAGACTGGATCATGGTGGAGCCTTGGTGACGCTCCCAATGTTAATACAAAACAGTACTGTTTTTCTGACTTTCCATGTGACTCCAGTGCAGGTGTTTCTCTTATTTTGTCCACCCTAATAGGGCTAGGCTAAGTAACAGAAACACCTTTCTGTATAATGCAGTACAGCTCTACAGCAGCACAAACTACCCCTCCAAAATGATCATACAGTTGAATCAATACCTCTCGGAACTGTTTAAGCATTAGTTTGGCTACATGTATGTAAAAAAATTGCAAAGTGATGTACACCTGACATGGAAACAGACAAACATGCATATTTATGCTATATTACTGGAATTGTAACATGATAACACACACCCCCAACTATAAAACATGCTGACACATGCATTTATACATTTTTCATGTGACTCATACAGCAGGTAAAGTTAATGAACTCTCTAATGATTCAGGTTGTAACAGGGTGCATCTTCCATTTGACTGACTAAAACATACTCGACTCTTTCTTCTGTCTACCTGCAAGGTGAGGACACTCCATGCAGTTATCAGTACAAGATTGCTTTCTTGTTCTAAAGCAATGTAATTGATCTGTTGCACTCATGCACAATTACTGTGTGAAACAATTAATTAGTTGCACATAAAGCACAAAGTAAGCAAATTAGCCCTAGTGGATACTGATACTTCTATTCCCGGCTATGTGGCCCTCACTGAGGAAAGAACACAGCACAGGCCTTCACCACTGAAGTGGTTCAGTACAAACTGAGCCAGCAAGCTTCTTGTTTTTCCTCATGAATAACAGATTAAGTGACTTATGAATTTAGGAGTACTTCCACTCACACTGGAAGCATGGTGTAGCTCGCAGTTTCAGGGCACCAAGATCTCGGACCAACTTTGGATACCAACCTAAAAAGAAGCCTAAAAACCCTGAGACTTAATGTATCGTATATTTGAAATAATTCCTTTTAGGTGCTTCTGTCAGCAGAGAATGTTTCAGCTCTTTAACTGCATATTGTAGACAATTTAAACTGTACATCTGGATTATTTTAAAAGCTGTATTGTTTCTAGAATGGTTTCCTTCATTACATGCACACATTGCTTTGCAGTTATTTTAATATGCTATGAAAATCAGCTTGTAGAGATTTGAATATTTCTTGAGATCGGTGATCCATCACAGCGGACTAAGTATACGACAAAACTGGGTACATCCCTGGGCAAAAACATTGATTGGGCTTCCTGTCCAGTAAATACATCTGTATTTGTTTTAGGCAAAGGCCAAAAAAGATGAAGCCAAATAAAGTATAATGAAAGCTCCACATTGGTATCTTAGTGTGTTTCAGTTTTGTTTTTTTTTTTTAAATATTTAGTAAATCCCTGTTTATTTTTGATGACACATTCGATCCTGCAGTGACTGTGCCAGTCCTGGCCAGGCCCATGTCAAACACACTGGACCCCGTCTTATTCAAACAAATTTATTTTTGGTCTCAGCTAACTAAAGAATGTGTTGCCAATATTCATAATGCGTCTTTTCATGCTCTCTGCCAAAGTTTACTCTTGCAGTTTGCTGTTTTGCGAGCAACTGTTTTCTTCTTGGGCACCATATACAGAGGTTGACTTCATGCAATATCCTTTGCACAGTCTGAGCAGTCAAGAAGACACTGATATTTCCCCAAGTAATTCTTCAGCCAAGTCAGAAGCACTTAGCTGTTTTTAATGCAAGGCTGTGTAAATAGTGAACTGTGTGTGCCTTCATCTCTTAAGGTAGTCTACCTAACATGTTTAAATTTGATGATACTTATCAAATACCCCACACTTCAACCTTAAAATAATGCAACTATTGCAAGATGACACAATTTTGACATTTAAGAGTTTAGTTATATTGCAAAGGGATGTATACAGTTTTGCTATATACTACATGCACTAAGGAGCATGCTGAGTACTTGCTTAGTCCCACAATTTAAAGAGAAGATAAGCAACTGAGTAACTAAGGCTGTCAAATTCAAATCATAAGCAACACAACCATCAAATTAAGTTAGCAGGGACCATCGAATCATTACAAACCCTACAGAGTAGCTTAAGTATGATTAAAGCCTATTATAAATTCACTGCAGGAGTGAGACAAGAACTAGAAGAACTTCAAAATATTAGTCATAATGCCATCGTATAATTGTAATGCACCCATTAAACGTCTGCTGTGAATTGACATTTATGATACTCCTATTGTTACAACCTCTTTAAATGTAATCCTGCTTCTTCATTTGCATTAAGTCAGAAATGGATGTATGTATTATGTGTTACATAATGCCTTTGACTTAAAGATAGAACTACAAAAAAGAACAGAACCTTTTTCTTCCACACAGAATAACTCATGAAGCAGAAATTGAGTACCAGTTTCCTTTGCACTGTACAAACTATGATGATTTAAGATAGTTAATTTTGTGTTACTTATTTATCTACTTTATATTTAACTTGTATTTTTGTGGCATTCATGTGGACGGCAAAGTAAGAATTTCATTGTACAGGGAAAAAACGTTTCCTAACTGTGCTTATGACAAACACTTTGACCTTGACCTTAATTTTCTGAGAAATATTTTGGTGTACAGATTCTAAAATGTTAGAATGGTTGTGCTGGCTTGTATGAATTCATGTTGGCTTGCCATAGTTGTATGTATGATACAATAATAAAAACTTCATTCTTTCATCCATTCATTCATTCATGATACAGGAGAATGCTCATCCTCAGCCACAGGAATTTACAGACTGTGGAAAAAAAACACCAAATGTTTAATGATGTATAGAAGCTCAAATTATGGCCTATATGGTCTTGGCTGATTCAGGATGGTAAACTGATAGACTCCTGTGATTGGTTTGATAAGAGAACAGAGGGGCACTTTTGAATTTGTGATAGATTAATGTACTGTAAAAGATCACAAGCAAGTTTTAACTCTTTTCAAGTTTATATTCTGTTACCAGAATCCACTACATGTCAAATGTTATGCAGATAATTTGCAGTTTTTCAATCTTTGACAGAAACCAGCATTCAAATAATCAAGACATCTTACTTACACATTCAGTGGTTGCCAGGCTGGCCACTGGGCTTTCATTTTGATGACTGTCAGGACCTCATCACCCTACAGAAGAGAGACAGACTCAAAGTCAGTCCCCGGAAACAATTGCCACTATTGAACCATCACACTTCACAGGTGAATGATTAAAAAAGATCCATGGAAGACTTTTTCCCATTTCCACACTTTCTAGAAAATCCTTATGGCCGGTGAATGAAGGTGATGTGTGTGGACAGGAAAAACTCTGAAGCAGATGTATGTCTGGAGCGAAGATTATTTTCAAATTTTGAGCACTGACATTTAAATGGAAACAATGCAGAAGCCTACAGCTGTCCTGATGACTAACACACCGCTCACATCTCGCTTTCAGTGTTTTCCCAGTTAGCAGAAATAACAGTTCTCAACATAAGATGAATGAAGACATGACATCCTGACATAAATGTCAGAATTAAAGGCAAAGGGCTGAGCTGAAACCATTTTGGAACAAAAGTGAGTGTCTGTAAAATAACAGCATGCTCTCAAGTTGACAGGTCACTGGTGACAACATGTCTGTGTGCAATGTTCAGTCTGCAGCTAGTGTGACTTTTAAAAACTAAATCCCTATAGATAATTCAGAAAATTGCCTTAAAAATGTAAAAACTGTTAAAAGAATTTTACACATGTTGATTTTACAAAACAAAGTCACACTGTGGCTTTTTCCCTAGTAATTTGTGAAAGTGCAGCTACAAGCTTCTTTACTCTGACCAATGGCTGAATCAGCAATTTTATGCAGCAGAGAACACATATAATGCTCTAAAAATGACAGGTTACACTTTAGATTGGGCTCTGCCACAGTTCACCATCCTCTGTGCTCACTTTCAGTGAGATGGCAGCTATCACATCCTCCCAAGTGCATGCAAGGATCTCCCCTTGTCATTAAAGAATCTGATGGATTTAGGTTAACTAACACTTTGTGAACCCCTCATGCCAATTGGTCATGGCAATTTGCTTGGGTTTTATGAAAGTGAAACAGCTGCACAACAGTTTTCTTCTTTGTTCATTTATTCTTGAAAATTGACAAAAATAAAATTGGTACAGTATAAACAGTATAGATAATGGATGGAACTTTGATAATCTAATGTTAAACCAACTGTAGTGTTTCATCTGTCACTCTCATAGATTCTGACAGTCATAAGAATTATAAATGGCTTGGCTTTCCTTGATACTCATGGCGCTCCCTGAGGAATTCCACATGTGGATTGTGGTGAAGAAGACATAATGGTGTCAGTACAGTTTTTTCCACCCTGTGTTTCATTAAAATGAAATGTAACTGAAAAAATCTCTGAGTAGGCTTGGAAGTTTTAATATAAAACTGGATAATTCTGGATAGTTTTCATGGAAATTGCTAAGGCTGAATAAATAATTTAAGTATTTAAGTCAGAAATTCGCTGAAATATTTGAGGGATGTCATTAACCTTACTTCTTGTGACCAGTACGTGTTCAGTAACTAACTTTTGTTCCAATATCCAAAATGTCAGCCTCCTCATCTCTCGTTCCATCTTACCAAATTTATTGCTGTAAATCTGACAGGCTAATAAAAAGCAACGCAGATTAACCCTATTACAGATTCAAGGATGTGACTGATGGATTGTGGCTGCGCTATGGATTTAAATATTATACATTCATCGTCTTTGTGGGTGTTTAACACAGACTGACAAAATTGGATGCTTAGGAAAGTTTTACACTTTCAAGTGGACACTTTGCTCAGTCTTAAATGATATTTAGTGACGCACTTGAAAACTTTAAATGAAAAGCTTAGACCATGTTGACATTTGAGAAAATAAAAAAGTCAAGGTGCTGCTTTTGGTTCAGGTTTCCTGGTGAAAAAATCTTTGGTTTTTGCGAAAGGAAACAATCTTGTTTGAAGATAAGACAATAATTACTATAATTGGTATGAGCTGTGACGGCAAATGCAGTTTCTCAAGTTACTGCAGGTACGGTAAATATACAGAAAGAGAGAAAGCCTGCTTATTGTTAAGAGACCATCATTCTCTTAAATATGATTGAGGTTTTCACCATCCAGTTTTCCTGGCAGAGGGTAAAGAGAAAGGGGTCTGATGAGGAATAGAGCTAGCAGATATTGCTGCAAGACCTTTAGATAAACAGATATGTCACAACCAGCACCATCAAAGACAGTGACAAGGATGTCTAATGAGTGAGCCAAAAAGACCTCCACCCACAATTTTGCCTCTTGGCAATCTTTTACAGAACAAATTGAACTGTCAAGATGTGACTCATAACTACTGAAAAGGACACATTTGAAGTTCTGCACCTGCCACCCCTAACATAACAGAATGGTTTTCTCAGTCTCTGTTTCCCTTTATCCAGACCAGACCAGTCCAGTCCAGATAAACCTTTATTAGTGTCACAATGGGGAAATTCGCAAAGTTACAGCAACAAAGGGATGGAAACAAGGCACTCAGTGATAAACACAGAAAAGTAACAGACAAGGTATTATCAATACAAACAATATAAATATAATAAAAAAAGTAAAACAATATTGCACCATGGTATACTGATTATTTACAGTTTGTGGGTGTGTGAAGTTGGGGGGGGCCTTACTCTCTTACTGGGAGCAATGCTGGTTGTACAGCCTGACAGCAGCAGGAAGGAAGGACCTGCGATAACACTCCATCACACACTTGGAATGAAGCAGTCTGTTACAGTGCTGGCCCTCTTAGCCAGTACTGTGCTCTACTTTGCTCATGAATATTCCAAAAATTACTGTACCTGAATGGTCAAATATACAGTGCCCAGAACCCCTGGGGCTCATTTTGAATCAGCCTCACCCCCTAAAAAGTTTGTAAAATTAGCATGATTCTGCTTTGAAAATGAGAAAAGGTGAGAAAATACATTTCACTGCTATGAACCAATTGTAAAATATCAAAGTGGAGAGCTGGCTGTGGTGGAGAGTGATGTAACTCTGTGGCTCTCTGATGGAGAGGACGGTCTGGACTCCCAACACCATTCTTGAAGTGTCAGTAAGCCATGCTGGTGAGGGTACTGCATTTAACAGAGATCTGATCTGAGGAGCTGATATGACTGGATGTAAATGATACCAGTTTTAATCCATTCACAAGTTACCAGCAGCCCAAAAATTAGTTCACACATATTAAAGTCAAACGTTTGAATCGCTTGGAAATCTTAATGATGTAATACATTACGTATCTACAAGTTGAAGCACATTTTATTAACACCACATTTTCTTTGCTTTTAAATATAGCTGAGTGATAAAATGATCAGATTACAGAGCAGAACCTGCTCATTCCCTTCAGCCATAGCTGAGTAACTTGCATAAAGTCTCTGGGATCAATAAAGAGGATGTGATCCAATATTTGCCTGATGAAGATCCAGTATCGATCAAAACATTGCTGCTACTATTGAATTAAATTACTGCGAGCTCAACACAGTGTGTAAAATGTTTTTCTTGCTTTTTGCCTTCAAGATGTTATTGGATCAGCGCCTGTATATGTTTTTTTGGATGTGTGTGTCCTGTGCCCTTTTTTTGACTGTGATCCAATTAGTTGCTCCCCAGACATTTTGATGGAATGGATAAGTTTCATAATTAACTGCTGATTGTCAGTAGCCTGTCTGCAAGCTATGCAATAGACAGAGGGACATCTGCTACTCAATATACTACTATTCATTTTTTATTTATTCATAACTGACAATCTATGAATGAAACCTTGGTGAAGATGGATTAAGACTATCAAATGTCATTTTTACTTAATGCTAAAAGTTTTCTTGACAGTTATACTACATGTGACACAGTTGTTAAACACACAACAGCTTTGATACATAGGGTTCACATTTACCAGGTTTGTACTAAAAGGGCAATTTGCATTTGGAATAGTTTTTTGCTTCAGCTGAGCACTCACAGCTTTCATCTTAGTCACTAAGAATTCATGTGAATCAAGACTATTACACAAGCAAATAGCCTCCTTTATCACCAAAAGCACAACTTGCAATGTTCTGCTAGAATATTAATCATTAACCAAGTCCGGGACTCTAACATCCTAATGGACTGCTTTTGACGTTGATATTTGTGTAAATCCTCAGACATCCCTACATGCTTCTTTACACTATTTTACTAGAAAATATCTATGATATTTATTCTATTAGCTCAACCATTTTAAATGAATTACTTTTTTAGATTCATATAGAAACAATGTTCTGTACTGAATTTAGCATCTCTGTTCTACATATTACTGTATTGTATTCCAGCAAGGTAATACCACAGAGGTTTTATGAAAAGTTATCTAGTTTTAAATAACCTTTTAAGTTTATTTTTAGTTTGCCAACCATGTATTTAAATTTTACTGACTTCATAAACTATTAGAGGAACTGTCATCATGTAACACCTGAAATAAATCTGAATATGTATACAGTATATACTGTTGCCATCAGGCAATGCGCGTAAAAACTGTTACCAATACTGTTTTTTACCAAGTGGATGCTTTCCACTTATTACACATGTACGTTTATGTCATCATTTCTGCACAGACCTACTCAAATCTGGGGCTTGCTGAAGAAGTCATTTGACTTAGATAAAGATTTAAATCCTCTGGAAAAATGGAAATGCTAATAATTTAACTATGTCAGTAAAATTAAAAAGCCCATTACTAATATTTAGTTGGGTTGCTCTGGTCTCATTTGTATGCAACTATAAATCTTCTCTTTTGGACTGAAAAGAAAAAGCAGCACATTTTTGCTGTGCCCATTTATTAGTGGCAAATATTAAAGTATTCTGCCATAAATAAACTCTTTGCCTTCAAGTTTAATGACTGGTAGCACAGAGATTTATTGGCTTAATGACAAAATGTGCAACAGATCATTACCTTGGCACATGAATGCATTTCTCAATTAACTGGTATAACTGCTCTTGCATCCATTCATTCAGTTAAACCATCAGTATGCCATACTAAAATGTCAACTTACATTGACTGACTTCACTGACGGCAAGGGCAGAAAGAAACTGGCTGTTTGCTTAAGGAAATAGCTAAAGAGTTAAGTTTAGAAGCAGGTAC